CAGTGATGTGATAAATATTTCACTTAGATTATTAACCAAGAGATTTTTGTTGGGAAAAAAAGCACAATCACTCACATTTACCGCTTAAAAATTTATTTATTTTAAGTTTATTGATTCATTTTACAAACTTGTTGACAGTAAACCAACTCCTCTCTGCAGTTAGCTTGAGTAGCCTATAAAAAAAATTAAAGCTACATCAAAAACCACACAAGACCAGTTCTTTAAAAAATAATAATGAAGTACTAATCATGTACCAAGCTTGAAATCATTCTTCCAGACAGGTTCTGGCTGTTTGTGACTTTTTAGTGACAACCTGGAAAAAAAATAATTGTCTGTTTGTTGGAAACAGAGCGGCAGGACAGTTAAATCTACAAAAGGCTCTGGACAGGATGGAGATTTACAGCTTCGGAGTCACTCTCGGGTTAGTTTCTTCAGCTCTGAGGCCGCCGAGGTCTGATCTGATGAAGACGGAGGATGTGTGGTTGTGTCTCAGAGGCGTCCACGCAGCAGGAACATGAGGAAGATTGCACTGAGGAGGATGCAGAGCGTGCACACTGTAGGAACCACGATCTCTGTCACCATCTCCATGTGGCCTATCAACGGATCTGCAGCAGCACAGACATGGACACGGGGGTAAATGTGTTTATACTTTCAGCTCCTTTTGAAGATCTGTAGCAACACTAATAAATGCCATCAGTACTCTGAGCATGAGATGCTGCCATCAGATAGATAAGTAAACTGAATACACCTTTGTTTATTTCTTTTGTCTATCCATATGGCCACTGTGAGTGAGTGTGGACGCCCTGCTGGGAGACTGAGTCAGCGTTAATACCTAAACTTCATCATGCACTGGCCAAGTCTTTTGCATTGCTGCATGTTCCTGCATGTTTCCCTGGGACTGTCTTCTAGCTGGAGGGGCGAAACAAAGAAAAACCCTGTTAGAAAGTGGAACAACAAGCTTCAGACTGAATTTTTCTTTGTTTGGCCCCACCGAGCTCCTCACAGCCTGCTGCAGTGCTTCGTGGTACTGACCTGCAGCCAGGAGCTGGTTACTGGAGGAGCACGTTTCCACGGCTTTCCTCTTCCAGCTCTCCACCTGCAAACACCAAACAAACTCCCACAGTTAAGCAGCACATTCTCCTCCTTTAACGTGACGTGTGCTGTCACAGTTTACCTCTCTCTGATTGGGGAAGCCGTTAGAGCTGATGATGCGTTTGTAGTACTGGACCGAGGCCTTCGGGTATCGCGGTTTATTCTTGTTCCTGAAGTCGACGTAGAAGAGACCGAACCTCTCGGAGTATCCTTCGTCCCACTCAAAGTTGTCGAGCAGAGACCAGGCCGTGTAGCCCTTCACGTTCACCCCGTCTTTCATCGCTGGGAGTTTAATCAGGGATACACATTTAATTACTGCCTCATATACGTGTACATACTGGGGCTGCAGTGTTCAGGTTGGTATGCTCTCATACAGTCAAAATCTGATTGGTCCAGCAATCTCTGGTGCTACTGCCAAAAGTCTTCATCAGCCTTCCTACCTGTGTGTGTTTTTTACAATTTTGAACTGAGCCACCTTCATGAAGTCTGCCAGGTCGAACTTACTTAACGATTACTCTGAGGTGGCTCCAAACTAATCAACACCGTGTCAAAGACATTGTTGGTGTGGCTGCTTTTTGTTCACCCTCTGAACCCCCAAACACACCAGAGGATTTAATGGTCATGCTATCCCTAAACAATTACACCATTTATCTGCAGAAAAATGTATCAGAGTTTTCACTTTCATTAGTTTTAAAGTTGTTGCAAGGTGGCTCGGTGGTTAGCATTGTTGCCTCGCAGCAAGAAGGTTGCCGTTTTTTTTCTTTTAAATTAGTGTTCTTTCTTTTTGCACATACAAATAGTTTGGCATTAACGTTGGCATGAAGTTCTAAAGTTTGCATCTGTGACGCGTCGTTCCATTTGGAAAATTATCTAAACCTAAGCTTAAAATTGTGATGTTTAATCAAAATAATTTCATTCTGCATATTGAAAATAAAATGTTTGCAACAGATCCTGTAATAGCAAATAGTTTCTTGGGGGAACCATGAAATCAAAAATTCTGAAATTATTCAGCTAAGAAGTTAGAAATAATTAGTTAACTGTGTTCAGTATGTAGAGCCCCCATTTTTTTTTCCAGTTAAGGTAATACTTGCGGGTCCAGAGGGTTCAGACGAGGGCTAATAAGTCAAGTGTATACTTTTCAGTACGTACATCTCAGCTCAACAACCAACATGAAAACAGCATTTGAAAACAGCAGCTAACTTGTTTCTCTTATATTCCTCAACAGTTCTTGTGCTTGAATCACCAGTTGATATAATTCTGTTTTCATAAATCATATGAACATGGGCAGCTGGTCTGCTTTCAGCCTGTTGTTATCATTTCAGTATAAAATAAGCAGCATAATGATTTAATATCCTGCAAATACAAGCTGTTCATGTTGATGTAGAATTCTATTCTATTCTACAAAGCCAGCAGGTAGAGAGCACTCAGTGCACTGTGGCCCATTTAATTCATCTACAGATAATGAGCAGTATGGTATAAAGAGGTGTGATTTTGGTCGACTAAGATCTTCTTTGGTTGACTGCAGTCCTCGTACACACCATCAGATAAACCTACACTGTATGTTCAGTCAGTAAAATGTTTCTGTCAGAGTTTCACCTTTGAGCATTTCATTGATGTAGTCCTTGAAGTACTGCATCCTCCAGTCGTCACACAGGTCAGTGCACAGCATCTTCTCTGACACGCCGTTTTCTGTCACGTAGACCATCGGGTTTCCATACTGAGTCTGTTGGTGAGACATGATGCCATATTTTAATTTAAAGAGTCTTTATAATAAAGGTTTCTTAATAAATGTGTTTTTAATTATTAAAAAATCATTTTGTTTTTGTGCTGTCTTGCAAAAAGTTAAAATAAAGAATCAGCAGCTGTCCCACATCTATATATTAAAGCATAACTGTATGAGCCCTGGGCTTTTTTAACTATTATTTTTAAGCTCTTATCTTGGTCATTATCAGAACTAACCATACATGAAGTATTTTTTTTTCACACCAGTCTAAGGCATCCAGATGTTCCATCATTTGGTATTACAATACCTGCATTTTACAATTGTATTTATGCAGCTAAATCAAACATACATTGTACCAAAAAACACTGGCAGTAGAAATATATCATCATAATTGTGTGTCGGTGGAATTGCCTTTTCTCTGGCAGTAGGTTTGCAACCATCATGATAAGAAACTGTGACTTAGAAATTTGGAAAAATACGTGCAAAGTGCCCTTAGAAAAATATGAAACTGCAAATGTGTCATGTGTAAAAGTTTACATCTATCTTGTGCAACTCTGAGCAAAAAAGCAAAACAGTGAACTTTAGAAAACAAATCATTGAAATTACAAAGCAGTTTGTGCTCTTGTTTCATTTGGCTTTAAATTCTGTGCATTAGCTGATTTTTATTCACTTGCATCAATTACATGTTGTGTTTATAGTCATTTATGTATGTTGTTTTAGTTTTACTCTTGTCACTAAAGAGTGACTTTTCAGTCCTCAGATTTGTGTACCTTGACAAAGTTCAACAAGCGTCGGAAGCCCCAGGGAACTGAATAGAGCCATTCAGAGCCAGGATCGGGCCACTGTGGGTCAACCAGCTCAGCGAGGTCACGATCTGCGAAGTAGCTGTCCCCCACACTCGATGGGTAGTTCTTCTGGGTGACGTAGCGGGTGGTGAAGTGTCCGAGGCCCAGGAAGTCGCAGGTGCCTTTGATGTAACTCTTCTCCTGAGGCGAGAAGACGGGAAGCCGAGAAGCTCCGAGGCCCTGCTGGCCGCTTTTCCTGCCTGAAGGTGGAGGTTCAGGAAAAACAAAGGGAAGCAAAGGTATCAGCAGACAACACAGCCAGCAGGAAACACACACACAACACTGGCTGAGGTTCCCTACAAGTTCTAATAATGTTTAAAGAAGGTTTTAGGGATGTTTACTAATTCAAATAATGTTCCAATGAAGTTAAACGTTAACAAAGTCATAAACTGCAGCTTTCAGAGGATGTCTGGAGGACGATGTCAGGACCAAAGATTATGTCACGTGATAAGAAAGGTTCTCAGAGCAACATTCAAAAAATGTCTTCAAGATGTTATGAGGTGATTTTTTATGAAGCGTTCTCTCTGTGATGAATTTTTAGTGGCAGAACATTCTGCCTGCACAGATGTTTTGGTAAAGTTCTTATGGTAAGAACAATATACAACATTCACATAATGTAACATGATAACAATCAAAGACGCTCTCAGTGTAACACAACATGTCATCATGAACGTTATCTTATCTTCAACAGAACGTTCTGGGAGCTAAACAAAAACGTCCCACTAACAACATTATTAGAAGTTTTCACAATTTTCTGAGGAGAAAAACAAAGGGCCCCAAATTAAGGGATTTTGTATTAATTAAGAACTTTTCTGGAATTTAAATGTCAAAATATAGTGAAACAAAGCTGTCCAGTCTAAATGGCAGAAGCATATTTAACATTTAAAAACTCTGAATCATTGAGTTTTTTTACTTTTTTGTTTAGAATTGTTGACAGTAAAATAAACGGGAATTTACTAATTTAACAACCTGTTGTTTCAGTAGTACTTCTAATATTTAGCTAATTGAAAGTGACATTTATGTACAGCACACTGACATTTACATACTGTTAAAATTACAGTAAATTGAATTAAATTAAATGCAGTAAATGTTCCTACTGTTTTTACAACTTTCTGAGAACATAAAGTTTCTAGGTAGGAAGATTCATGAGGCTCACTTTTATCAAAAATAAAAGTTATATTCATAGAAAAATATTGCACCATCATTTTTACATGGTTTTTGCTCATTTACTGCTATGATAGATGTAAATTAGACTTTAAACGTGGAAACTGGGCAGTGAAAAGTTATATAGAAGCCCAGAAAGGGGACAAATTTTAAATCTTTAAAACCTGTACTAATTGCTTAATTAAAAATATTGTAAAAGGCTTTTGGAAGAGTGAAGTCATGGAACATGGATGCCTGTACAAAACCTCAAGACAATAAACTCCATTTAGTTGTTGAGATATTTTTGTCAGAACCAACAGATAAATACCTAAAGCACGGCTCAAAAATCTTCCGCCGCTTACAAACACTATTTTTCAATCCATTTCTTAGATGCGACATCTCATAAACAGCTGCATTTGGCCACGACGTACCTACGTAGTCTTTCATGACCTGGGGATAGTCTCCGTGGAAGATGGGCGTGGCGAACCAGCCCAGGTAGAACTGGATGTATCTCTCTGCTGCTTCGATGTCTCTCTGGTTGGAGATGTCCACCGGTTCGCCCCAGTCAGCCGTCAGCGAGATGCCAACCAGGCCTGGACACACAGAGAACAACTTCAATGCAGGAAATTTACATTAAATCCAAACCACAGGGACCCAAAACACGATAATAAAAACCCAGAGCGGGGCTGTGCCTGTCACCTTTCTGCTTGCTTCTCCACTGCATGTCGTAGGTGTGCCAAACTTTAGCATGGGCCTGTTGTACACACAGAAAGCAAACATCAGCATGATAAAATACCTTGTTTGACATTAACCTGCAGAAGATGTCAGTCAAATCTTTTCTGAGCAGGAGGAGCACAGCTGGAGCTAATTTCATTAAGCTAATTCAAAGGCTCAGTGCAGATACACAACCAAATAAACTCAGTTCATGTTTGATGTATCGTACTTGTCTTATTTCTTTCTCAGTTTTAGGTGCTGTGTCCCTCATGTTCTGTCATTTTGTTTTTTTCTGAGCGATATCTAGCCCAAGAGTTTCCTTCCTGATTCTGTCACCCAGCCTCTCGTTGACTAGACTGACACAGGACTTTGCTGCTAACATCAACTGGGAATTTAAAGTCCCGTCGGCATGAGTGTAGACTTCATTTGATCAGTAGGTGGGACACATTAAGTAAGAAGGTTTGAGCGTCAAACACTCAATTTCCTGCATTCTGGTGAAATTTTATGCACCGATTAGTTTCCTCTCTACATCTATTTTTAGTGGAAATGTCTTTACTGTTATTATTATTATTGTTTATTATTATTTGCAACACTTTGATCACATGTGCATTATTTCACTTTCATGCACAACATACAGTCAATGTAATGGGCAACATTTCATTTTCATCAAATTTTTCAGCCGCGATATTTCATTTGTTTCATGTCTTTTAACTTCAATGCACCAAGCAGGAATGACACTCTCCTAATCCTTCTGTATCCTGAATACAATGACAATAAATGCTTTCTTTTCTGTTCTATTTCCATTCTGTGTTACCTTGATGATATGGTGAGCAGCCTTGTACGCTCCTGTTCCCCTCAGCCTCAGTCCAGGTGCATGTTCTCCTGTTTCATATCCCTCCACAGCGATGGACTTAAAAAAAATACGAGACAGTCACAATCTGATACACAAATCAGCTGTGAACGTCTCTTTTCTTAACCTGACATACCCAGGGATTGTTGAAGGTGATCCAGTACTTGACTCTGTTTCCAAACCTTTCGAAGCACAAGTTGGCGAAGTCGTTGTAGTAGTTGACCATGCTGACGTTCTGCCAGCCGCCGTACTTCTCCTGCAGCACCTGTAGGAAGCATACAGTGAAATCACAACACTGATGTATCTGTAGAGTGAAACCACAACACTGATGTATTCGCAGCGCAGCTTCCAGTCAGTAAAAACATGCGTCTGGTGCTGACCTGAGGTAAATCCCAGTGGTACAGAGTCACTACGGGGGTGATCTTGTTGTCCAGCAGCATGTTGATCAGGTCGTCGTAGTATTTGATGCCTTTCTCGTTGATGTGTTCGCCTGCAGGAGTCACCAGTGATAAATTAAGCATATTGTCGGCATATAATTCAATTAGATTAATTTTTTGTCATTACAGTGCCAGTACTAACAACAAAATACAGTTTAGCATACTGTATGTAAAGTAGTTACATAATTAGGGCTCCAAAATGATTATCTTATTAGGGATTTTCATTTGATTGAGAAGTTTTCTGCCCTTTAAATGTCAAAAAATAGTTTTTAAAAAATGAATAAAAACGTCATCAAGACCAAGCAGAAGAAGTACATTTCCCATTTAAAAAGGTGAATCCATCATATTCTTGTTTTGTTGCTTTGTGAATGACCTAAAGAAATAGTTGTCAGTATATTAACGATTAATTCACTAGTTAGACAACCAATTGTTTCAGTAGTAAATCTAATATTTAGTTAATAGAACGCAACAAAAACATACAAATCAAACATAAAGTGGGAGGAAATGTTTTAATCTGATGTTTAAAGAACATTTTAAGAATTCTTACCAATTCCAATAATGTTTCTATGATATTAAAAGTGATTATTATGTTAGATTAAGTGATAACAAAAGAAGAAGTTTCTCAAACTCACATTGAAAAAATATTTTTCAGGTGTTTTCAAGGCCTCAGATGATGTTTTATAAAAAGTTCCTGTCATGTGAGATGTGAAGCAATATTCTAAGGATGTTTTTTGAGATGTTCTTGAGGTACCAAAGATGACTAAGGATGAAATTTCTCGATGCAACATTCAGTTTTCAGGACATTACAGGCTTAACAGTCTACCAGTGTTATCACCAAACACTTTAAGAACGTCTTTAGGAAACGTCTGTCCTACTTTTAGGAAGAACATCCTGGGAACTACAGAAAAACTTCCCGCTGATAACATTACTGCAACTCAGCACAACTTTCTCAGAACATTTTTAGAGTAAAAATATTGTGGCTGCTCCGGCTTCTGCTTACTTTTCAGTCCGTTGGGTAAAATCCTCGGCCAGGAGATGGAGAAACGATAATGGTTCAGCTTCATGTCCTTCATCAGGTTGATGTCATCCTGAAAGAAAACATTACTTTAATCTACTGCTTCATTCCAACACAAACCAGAAACAAACACATCTTCAGCTTTGACTTTCAGTTGGTTCATATTTACTGTACAGATGTGAGACTGCTGTTAAATCTTCTGCTTTCTCTTAATTCTAACGGAGATCCAAATTTTCAAATTTTCACACATAACAAATATGAGGAAATGTATCCAAAATAATACAGAAAACACTTTGAGTTGTTCAGCCACAAATATCTGCTTATTTATTTGGTGCAAACAGCGTATAGCTTCACTAAAGATCTGAAACAAGCTGAGTCTGAATTTACGGCCTGCTTAGTTAGGAATAAGATGATTCTCCTGCACCTCCTAGTTCAAGTTAGTTAAACCGGCAGTGAGCTCTGTCTCCCCCTTGTGGCAGTGAGAGGAATTACACAACAGCAGCATGGGAAAACTCTTCTATAGAGGAAATACAGATGGATTTATCTGGAGCTGATATGTCTAACCAGCATTGTGTGAACATGTAATACTTGAATCTAACAGATTTTCATTTTTAGGTAAAATTACAGCAATCCAGCTTTAAATTTACATTTTAAAAAGGGTAAAATAAATGTTATGAGGATCAGAGAATTTGGCTTAGTATGACAAATATATAGGATCTTATAGGAATGCTGCCGTAGCTTATAATCTAATTCAGTTTAAGAATGTATTTGGGTGTAACAGCAGACTGAAGTCTTGAGTGCTTTTCTGTGCTCGTCACCTTGAATTTGTAGTAGCCGTCACACGAGGTGTCCCCTGTGTCATTGTACAATATTTTCCCCTTTTTGTGGGCGAATGTGTCCCAGATGCTCATTCCTTTTCCATCTGTGTTCCAGGCTCCTTCAGTCTGATAGGCAGAGCTGCCAGCTCCCCAAGAGAAACCTGCAGACGAGCACAAAGGCAACAATCAAACCAGTGCTTGACATGATAATCTGATGGGAGGGTCAGTTTCGTGACTCATGAGCTTTTTGATCATGATTGTTTCTGAGGTCAAGATTGGGTTTTCAAACTTAATATTTAGGCCAACATGAACAAAATATTTTAAACCTGCTTTCTTTTAGCCAGAAACTGTAAAAACAAAAAGAACCATCAGATTTTCAACCTTCCTACACTCATGAACGTATCACAAGTGAATCGTTGTTCTGTCACGAAAAATAGCCAAAAACAAGCACTTTATCCTACATGTCTCATTTAGAAACTTGCCAAAGTAAACTGCTTGCATTAGATCCTGTAAAATGACACAAATGCTGTGCTCTTCAGGACAACTGAGAAGTTAATAGTGCCTCAGTTTTCAGATGAACTGCAGGCAATGTTCACACAGAGCAGAGAGGAGACAACAAGACCGCCTGAGAGTAAAGTCAAACATACTCTATCAATAAAATATGCAGCATGGATTAAAAAAATAGTATACAGGAGCAAGTTGTTGGAAGATACATTCAGCACAGTGAAACATCTTTCTGATGTACGGAGTGGTGTGGAAAACACTGGAGTTTGAGAAAATGCAAAGAGTTAAACATCTATAACATGTAGATGTGATAGAATGTTTTTTATTATTGGTAACATCTGTGGTCACCTGGAAAAATGTTTTAAGTTTTAAATGCAGGTTTTTTTTCAGCTGTTGCAAAATAAAAAAAAATCTAAGAAATTAAACTTCTGCTTCTCCAAGTTTTTTTTTTTAAATGACTTATAGCATTATAACAACATCATACTGCAAGTTGCTAGAAGTAAAATTCAACAAGGTGAAATATGTTTAAAGAGTTAATGTGCAGACTTTGAAGGGGTTGTACAATTAAAAAAACACGGTTTATCTCTGGTCACTTTTTATTGGTTTTAGCATTCTTTTGTTAAATAAATTGTTAAAGGAAATGTAACTTATTTCTATTTTGGAATTTATGGCATTATAACTACATCAAACTGCACAAAAAACATTTTGGAGTTCTCTTTACTTCTAGTCATGGTTGTGCTGTTTCCATAGAGGTACAGGACTTTATTTAGCAATTTAAAGGAAAAAAAAAAAAGTTCACGGTAAATAAGCATTTGACAGGAGCAACAAAAACACCCAGGAACTGCTTGGAGTTCAGAGGATTAAAGTTGAACATCTGTCATTGCATGACAACTGAGCAAACTCCATCCACATACGGTAGAATCTGTGCAATATCAAGAGTACTGATGTATATTTTTGTTCATTTGTATTGTCTACTGATGCTTCCTACAGGCTTGCACTGCATGATTTGCTGCTGTAATAAAGCTCCAGAATAGCCACTTATTAGACTTTTAGGAACAAGATTGTATTTAGCTAAATAAATGTGATGCTTTTCAGGCTATGTGAAGCAGTTTGTCAACTATTTTGCAGTAAATGATGTTTCCTACCAGTTGGGAAGGTGCCATAGTAGAAAGACGTCCTCTCGTTCTTCGTCCAGTCAAAGTCCTCACTGGCCCAAACACACAGCACCAGTGCAAACACATGGTACGACCTCAGGATTCCCCACTGCAGCATCGTGATCTGTCTTCACTTACACCTGCAGGGCAAATAGGTAGCCAGGTGAAGACACTGATCATCACAACCGCACCACAAGTCTCCTGTCAGTCTATCCTGAAGCAAAGACTCACGCTCGGGTGTCAGGTGTCCACAGGTTCTGAGTAAAATCATCCTAATTCAACCCCCAAACCTCAGGATCATTAGTTAAACATCCACTGAAAAAACACCCCGTCATTGTCAGAGAAGTTTCATTTCAACCAGCTGTAAGACACACTGACACAAAACGCAATCAGAGACAGAAAATAAGCCAACTTGTCCAGCACGGTGAGGATGAGCGACATTTCAAGCTTCTCTGTAGTGCAGTGAAAGATTTTTTTTTTTTCTTTTCTTTTAAAATAGCAGCTGGTTTAAAAAAGTCCTTGTGTCAAAGCCTGTGCTGTTTCTTTCCCTACATGTGTCCCTTTGCTCAGCTTCTGTCTCAGCCTCGGCCGACTCACTCAGAACCACATATACATGTCTGACCTGCTGCATTTGTCTCCGCTGGAAACTGCTCCAAAGTGCAAGAAGCATCGCCAAGCTTCTGGTTAATGCTCAGCGGTGTCACCGGCTGGTTCGCTGCCAGCGCCACAAAAACAAAACACAGTGAAACATCCAGGACATTTTTCTGCTATTCATCCGCCACCACCCCCGCCCCTCACACTGAATACCCCTCTCCATTTGAAAGCAGTGAAGTGTGAGCGTAAATTTGCTGGGGCAAACAGATCTTTTGGAAAAAGGAGGGATTTTGACACTGTAAGCAAAAGTTGGATTCATGTGCAGCTCTGTGGCTTTAGACTGTATGTAGGTGCAAAACAGAGCAGAGAATATCATGACAGAACTAAGTCAACCCACCCTCCAGAATTCAGGAAACATGTTGCTGCACTGTTTCACATTTTGGTCACTTATTTGCCATTTGGAACCCAAACATGAGATTTATTTCACTGATTTATTGTATTATCAAAATTTATCTGTTCCCTTTTCATTTTAACGGTACATGTGTGTAACAGTGACGGACTTTTTGCATGCTGTAATTGTTCATATTTGTCATTTAAAAGTCCTCTGTGATGAGAAATTTAGTCCTAATGCAAAAAAAAAAAAGTGTTTTAAAACTTATGCGAAGCAGCCTGAGTCATTCTGGTCAACCAAACATCTCACCAAGATAATTCCTCTTGAGTACAACACGCCCTTTTTGTTTCCCCGCACAGAGTTCCCTGTATGCAGATGACTTATTGTCTTACAGGAAAGTCACACCTCGAAATGCATCAGGACAGGATGCATAAGTAAAATGATCACAACATGCTGAATTTTCCCCTAATATTACAGCTGTTTGGTTTCCTACATAATCCAGATGTGCTCTGATGATACGGAAGACTATGACACATTAATAATGTGGGTTTTCATACTAAATTAGGAAGAGCATTACACACACACACACTACAGATGGTTATTTGTACTAAAACTCAGGTTAAACTGCAGCTACATGGAGC